AAAAAAAAAAAAAAAAAGATGACCGGTAAGGGGATCTTAACCCTTGGGCTTGGTGTTGTCAGCACCACACTCAGCCAGTGAGCGAACCGGCCATCCCTATATGGGATCCGAACCCATGGCCTTGGTGTTATCAGCAATGCACTCTCCTGAGTGAGCCACGGGCCGGTCCTCATTAGGGTTTTTTGTGATGGTAAGATTTACTTTCTATTTCTCATTTGCATTTTTGTTCTACCAGTAGGTTTTGTTCTTTCTTGTGTGTTTATGGTAGTTATTATTGATTATCAGATTCCAGACACAGGACTTCCTTGAGGATTTCTTGTAGGGTTGGTCATGGTGGTGAACAACAGTTTTTGTATATATATAAAATACACTATTTTCCCCTCATTTCTGAAGGATAGCTTTGCTGGGTACAGTATTCTTGGCTGGCAGTTTTTTCCTTTTAGTATTTTGAATATATCATCCCACTTTCTTCTGGCCTGTAGAGTTTCTGCTGAGAAGTCTGCTGTTAGTCTGATAGGGACTCCCTTATAGGTGACTTGACACTTTTCTCTTGCTTCTTTTAAGAGTCTCTGTCTTTGAGCTTTGCCACTTTTTTTTTTTTTTTTTGTCCTTTTTTGAGACCGGCCTCACCGCGCTCAGCCAGTGAGCGCTGTGAGTGCACCGGTCATCCCTATATAGGATCCGAACCCGCGGCAGGAGTGCTGCTGTGCTCCCAGCGCTGCACTCTCCCGAGTGCACCATGGGCTCGGCCCAAGCTTTGCCACTTTGACTATAATGTGTCTTGGAGAGGTTGAATCTGTTTAATCTTTTTGAGTTGAATCTGTTTGAGGATCTTTGAGCCTCCTGGGTCTGAACATCTGTGTCTCTCCCTATACCTGGCAAGTTTTCTGTTATTATTTCATTGAATAGGTTTTCCATCCCTTTTCCTTTCTTCTCTCCTTCTGGAACACCCATGATTCAAATGTTTGTGTGCTTAAGGTTGTGTGTTAGCTCCCTTATATTTTCTTCATTTTTCAAAATTCTTCTTTCCTTTTTTTGGTCCACCTGGATTATTTCAAAAAGACTATCTTCAAGATTAGAAATTCTTTCTTCTGCTTGTTCTAGCCTGTTGCTTAAGCACTCAGTTGTGTTTTTTACTTTGTTGAGTGAATCTTTTAGTTCCATGATTTCTGCAACATTCTTTTTTAAGGTATTAATCTCTTTGTAAATTTCCCCCTTCATATCCTGGATTTTCTTTCTCATTTCATTATGTTGTCTGAGTCTTCTTGTATCTCAGTGAGTTTCCTTAAGATTGTTGCTGACAATTCCTTTTCAGTCATTTCAAGGGTTTCCCTCTCTATAGGGCCTAGCATTTGAGAATTACTGTATTCTTTTGGTGGTATCATATTTTCTTGGATTTTCATATTTCTAGTATATCTATGTTGATGTCTGGCCATATGGTATAGCAAATGCTTTTTCTATTACTCTGGAGTGGGCTGTGAGGAGAGAGATATCCTCTTCTTTTTCTCGTCTCTGCTGGTGACTCTCCTAGTGTCAGTGCAGTCAAGTGTCTGGCAGGCTGTCTGCACAGTGGTTGTGGCAACTGCTATGGTATTGAGTCGCTTTTGCAGCAGCTGTGACTGTGGCAGTGGCTGTGGTGGGCCATCCAAGTGGAAGTGGTGTTTTTGGCATGCTCCTTGCCTGCTTCTGGGCAGAGGGGACTGCCCTTGGCTCCTGGCTAGGACCCCGGGTGTGCTCTGCTTCCGAGAGGAGGGGGCTGCCCTCGGCTCCTGCTTAGAACTCCAGGCATGCTCTGCTTCTTGCCTGCTTCCAGGTAGAAGGGGCTACCCTCAGCTCCTGCCTAGAACCCAAGGCATGCTCTACTTCTTGCTTGCTTCTGGGTGGAGCAGGCTGCCCTTGGTTCCTGCCTAGGACTCTGGGTGTGCTCTACTTCTTGCCTGCTTCAAGGCGGAGGGGACTGGCCTTGGCTCTTGCCTAGGACCCTGGGTATGCTTTTGAAAACCCCATTCAAATCATTAGCATGACCAACATGGAGAGGTTACCTGAATTAGAAGGGTGTGTATATGTATGTGTTTGTGTGTGTGTACTTGTGTGCATGAGTGCTTGCATTGCTTGTGTTTCATTTAGGACTTTGATCTTGCTTACTCTAAAAAAGATCTGAAGGAAAACAAAAAGTGATCCAAAAACTTTCCTCTTTTGTACCAGAAACATGCCAACACGTAATTATTTGATAATGTGTAAAACTGAAGTAATGTGACATGAAATCTGACCTGTAGTGACAGTCAGCTCGAACACAGAGTTTCCACTCTCGTTGGGAAACCCACCACTGTTCTTTCCATTCTTCAAAGACCTTACATAGTGTCCGCTGCTCATAATACAACCTAGGGCATGAAAAAATAAATCAGAGGATGTACATGATGATGTTAAAGTTGGCATCTATTCCCAAATACAGTTTCAATTTGCTGTTGACTTCTCATTGAAAAGTAAGCATCAAAATAGATTAAAAACAGACATATTTAACTTTTCAGATCAAAACTTTAGAGCTACTTAAACTAGAAATGAGACAAAAAAAAAATTATACTACAGATCTTACCAATTAAAGATGTTAATGTAAAATAAAAATCTGATTTCTCAAATACTATAAGTGAATTGAGAATTATTTTTTCATTCACCGGACTAAAATATATTTTTTATTTCTACAAAGTAATAGTTACTTCTCATTTATATACATAGGAGATTCAAGTTATAAATTAAGCAAATGCCTAATGATATTCCTAGTACTTAACAGGAATACAGCATAACCAGTTTAACTGAAATCTGGCCAGGGGAGTTATAACAACAGCAAAAGATAGGTAAGAGAGAATAAAGAAGGGAAAAGAATGAAAACAGAAGAGCAATGACAGGTAGTGTTGATGCTAACAAAACACTGCCAAGAAGATTGATAATTCAAGAACTCCAGTCCTGTCAATCACTTTGAATTTCTTTTTACAGTTCTGCAGGTTATGAACATGTCTCTCCTCCTAACCCAATCACAATTTTAAAAACTGGTTTACAAAGATGGTCATAAGGAAATTCACCTCATTATTGTTCATAATAATAAAGAGAGAATAAAACACCACAAATGCTCATCAAAAGAAGACAGGATAAAGCAATTCAATCAAAGTCACAGAGTCATTTTCTATGAACAAAATAGAGCTAAGAGTACTGAAATGGACAACACTCTAGGAAAGTTTTTAATTGAAAAAATAAAGTTACCACAAGGTATGTATAATAGATCTTTTTTTTTTTTTTTTTTTTTTTTTTTTTTCCGTGTCCGGCAACGGATCGCAACCCCCAGTGTTGCCCC